CCCCCAGATATAATTTCTCTTCGACTTTGTACCCCCAAAGTTGTTGGTGTATAATTCAAGTTATACATAGTATATAATCTACATCTAAAATAAATTAAATAAATTACATTACTGATTATTCAGTGTTTATCATAAAATAATATTTTTTTTAAATTTCACGTACCCCCTAAGATGTCTTCGCGTACCCCCGGGGGTACGCGTATCCCTGAAACGCTGGTAAACTTCTACCAGACTACACGGCGCTACAGTCCAGAAGACACCCATCTTCAGGTGACGGCAGTATTTGGAAGAAAGTCCTTATGTACGGATTAAGCTCCTAATGTGGACTACCAGTACATTCAGGTAACAAATTATGTCAACACTGTCATGAAACGAAGCCGATTAAATGCGGAGGTCAAGTATCGCTCGCTCGGGTGAGTTTAATTCTTTGTTAGTTGTGTTTTTCCACAAAGGACACGTCTGTACTCGCAGTGGTATCATACAAGATGTTAAAATACAAAAAATGCTTTGTTCCTATATAAATTTGCACTTCGGATGATTTTAAGCATTAATATCAATGTTTTTTTTCCAATTTAAAGCGGTGTGGAGTTCCATAAAAGGACTATAATAATTCTGTTTATACAGTTATTCCAAATCAGGTTCCATATTATTCAGTGGACATACTTGTGTATTTATGACATTTTTAAAGAAAAATCTGAGTTTCGTAACGCATGTCAAAATGTGTAATTTCATATTTTAATTTTTTTTGAAATTCAATGTTTCGACAAACAATTGCTTACTTATGTAGGATTTGGGATTTTTACAGCGGTGAGTCTCAAGATTGCAGTCTTCTGGGTTACTGCGTTGTGTAGTCTGGTAGATTTCCACAAACGTTTCAGAGGTCATACTGCCTCCGTCATCAGGGCGATGAATTCGTAAATGTTTAAAAAATAACTTGGGTAAATATTTGATGACGTGTCTCAATATCATAGCAGTATCAACTGAACGACCCCCCCCCCTCCCCGGAGATGTGGCCCAATATGATGACAAAACACAGCTCAACATGATGTCACTTATCACAATTTCTGAGCTATCGTTAATACATAAGAACTATTGCTATAATAATTACACTATCATGACGTGATACAATGAGATAGAGTTCGAATACCACTCGTTGCAAGGGCACGGCGGGGATGTCGGTTTATACAGACAGCTACTTTATCGTCATTGTAGCAAACATCTCCAGCGAACGGATTCGGGACTGTTCGGGCTCGTGAAGACGTCCACATTCATTGAGCACAAAAACGCATCCTTATAGCCGGCCTGAAAACTCTATATTCTGCGGAAGGCCATATTTTCTACAAATTACAAGCTTATTTATGTATAAATTCACCATCAAAATAAAAATTTAACATGCAGAATCGACAGACATGAGATTACTACATTTACTGCCAATGATTATGGAGTCAAATATTGTCATTGGCTGTATAAAGTGGTAATGAGTGACATAACTCGATCGCCTAAGAAGTAGCAGCTAAACTGTTGGAAAAACATGCCGGTCCTATCACATTGTACAAACATTCAAATTGACGGTAGCCTATCTGGTGTCACAGTAGGCGGACATTACTCGTTCAAACACGCGCTGGCGTGATTAGGACAATAACGGAGACACTTGTGAATAGGACGAAGGAGCAAACATCGATGGTGTTTGGCAGAACAGATTCATTAGGATTTAGTTTCGGAATTCCTTATTTTTACAAACATTTGAGATTGAATGATTTGTATATTCTAACAGAACCTAAGGAGGGGGGGGGGGCTATGTCTCTAACGACATCAGCAGTTTTTGAGTGCCCGAACGGGGAACTGACACAGAACTTTCTAAAGACAAAACCGGGCATAAAATCTAATCCTCCCCCCGCAAAATTAACATCTTATAGAAAATATGACAAATTATTTACAAAAGTTTGCCAAAATATTGAATGGTCGCTCTAGTAACGAACTTCCCTTGCGAAATCCAAAATAATTTGTCATTTGATTGTTCGCGAGCTGTTGTTCATCGCTTAAATCTAAATTTAAAAAGGCAAATCTACCATTACCCTACATAACGACCCCGGCCCACAATTGCCCTTATATTTTAGGACTACGCACCTGATGCTGAGTACACTACATAACCATTACCCAACTAACCAATCTACTAACAAACCAAATAACTAACTTGTCAATACGCCAAACAAATGATTATCTCTGTGGTAATGAAACAGACACTCGACACTGCTAAAAACTACTCAGCCACTCCCGTTTCCTCAGTGACTGCGATATTGTTTGGGGAAATAGCGGCTGAAACACACTTTCCTCTGTAGAGGTCAAAAATCAGTTGAGGTTAACCTACACGCCCAACTACACCTTTAATTAAGAATGTTTGTTTAGCCACACGGAAAAGCATCGTACCGTTACGCTACACAACAGTCTTTTGTTATCTACAGGCCCAGCTGTAAAGCAGAGGTCACGAATGGGTAGGAGCTATACAATCCCCGACTCCCAAGAGTCAACAGCTTAACTTTTCTTACTCTAGAACAGAATTTTGGAAAAGCATCGCAAAGTCTGCGATAGAAATGAGTTGTTAAATTTAACCATCACGTCGATACCAAAATGCATGTGAGACACGAATCTCTTAATTATATTATTTATAAGATATTGTTTAATTTTTGGTATTTTTATGGTAAGAAATGTATAATCCATGGCGGTTCACGCGCAAGGCCCTATAATCAACCAATAAAGGATAATATAGCTTGTTTGTTGGGGGGTATGAGCTGTGACCTTGAACTCTACTTAACTCGCGGCAAGGCTACCGAGCATCCTGTCTGAGGACCAGAAGCAGAATCGACTTCTCGTTTGTCAGGAGCTCAAAGATCTTGCAAGAACCGACCCCAACTTCCTTTCTAAGCTCCGTGTGACTTCTTCCTCTTCCCAAAGATGAAAATTCAGCTAAAGGGAAGGATATTTGAGACGATAGAAGAGATTCAGGCAGAATCGCAGATGGTGCTTGACAGGCTGACAAAGAAAGATTTCCAGGGATGCTTCCAGGCTTGGCAGCGGCGCTGGGATCGTTGTGTTCACTCCCAGGGGAACTACTTCGAGGGTGATGGATGAATTTAATACCTGAGATAAGTGTACGGGTTTTTATACGCGCAGTCTTGAAACTTTCCGATCGCACCTCGTAACCATTGGTTTTTGTCGGGATATACCACGTGAATTTTGTTTTTGACGGTAGCTCCAAAGTGAAGTTAAGGCTCGTGTTATGTTGGAAACCGCCACAACCCCTCGTGAGGGTACGCGAATATTTGACCGACCAAAGCAAAGTGAAGAGAGTGGATACCTAAACAAACACATCGAAAGGATCTTCAAATAAACACAACCCATATAAAGGAAAGGGCCCAACTTTTCTGTCATCCGTAACACGAAATAAAAATAGCTGACTGCTGTGTGAATCGACTAAAGTCTGCAAATCCCACCCTCTGTTACCAGCGGCTCCGGTTCAGGCTAACAAAACAATGCACAAGCCAGCATATTGTGGCACCGACAAAATGTTCCAAATATTACACCGTTGTTTCAAAAGAATGCGTAAGAATTATAAAATAAATTAAATTAAAGCCGTCCCTCTACACGTCTATGCAGATGGGGGTGAGTGGTCAGCTTTACCCCCGGGAAAGGAACCCGGTACCCATTGGATAGGAAGTTAGGTGGGCCCCAGAGCCAGTCTGAATGCAGAGGCTACAGGAAAAATCCTCTGTCCCCATCGGGGATCGAACCCCGGCCGGCGCAAGAATTGTAGGACTACAAGATAGCCAGAGGTCAGAGTAGACATACGAGGTGCGATCGGAAAGTTTCAAGACTGCGCCTATAAAAACCCGTACACTTATCTCAGGTATTAAATTCTGCAAGAAATTTATAAACCCTTGAGTGCTCTAGTTCACAGGGAAACTACATTACAGAAAATCCACCCCTGGAAAGTGACGTTTGGTAGGAAGTTGTCAGTGATCAGTGATCTACCGGTAACCTACGCGACATAGGAACCCATGACAGCGACCACATGATTGCCTTCAGTGTGAGTACCTGAAGACGTAAGTTTACTTGAGAGACGTTAAGATTTTATGAGAAAATAATATTAAAATGGGCTGGGGTATATTCAGTTGACATCTTGAAGTCGAAACGCGTTTGGTACTGTCTTTTTCAAAATGTAAAAACAGTTTCGTTTGTGTGCGTGATTTTATTTAGATAACACTGAACGGTATGCAAGCTTTTTAATATTATATTCAGTTGGATTAAGATGGATTTCGTTGGTGAACTGGGAATACGTTCGTTACTGAATCTCCAGTTAGGTAACAGACGAGTAACCTCTTCGTCAGATGAGGTATGACCAGGTTGTTCAAGTTCTCTGTGTGGTTAAGCCTGGATAAATTCGTGTATTACCTCAGAGCACAAAATTGGCCCGATCTCTCTGTAAATCACTTGCCGGGTGATGATATAATATATTTTATTATTTATTTAGTGTTCTGTCTGACGACAGGTCC